TCAATTTGCGACAAATTAGTTGAGTTTTGCTTCAAATCCGGTTTCTTATTATTTTTACGACCGTTTAGTTTCGACTTCAGTTTCAACGGATTTTTCGCCACATTTTGGTCCGAAGTTTCGCTTTTATAATCTTTGGACTCAATATAACTATCAGATCCCAGGTTTGAGGACTTGTAGTTGAGTTTGTTGTCGGAACTGGACTTTTGTCTCTGAGTGTGGATCTCATTCTTGTCGCCCAGAGTCGAGGCATACAAACCGTATATGAAATTGGCGGAGGGATTGGGTTTGTCACGAAAGGCCGACTCCTGTCTCTCGAGCGACTCGTCTTCACTACTTTGAGACAATATCGGTGTCCTCTTCACCGGCCCCTCCCTTCGCTCCGGACTCGCCACCAGTTTTATCTTTGGACTCGTTTTAGACTTTTCTCGCCTTTTGAGACAATCGCAGCTAAATATACACAACAAGACAAACACTAAGATCACGATCACGGGAACAAGTGCCGCTAAAGTGATGTATAGGATGGGAGCGCTTTGGGACCAGGATTTCCTATCTCCTGTGCCCCCCGAGTCTGTATTGTCCACCGATGGTCCGCATACTAATCCGACCATTAATGGGATGATTGCTGTCGTCATATAAATACACGATTTTGAACACATCTTCTAAGAGATTATTAATTTGTATTTCAATCTAAATGTAAGTCAAGTATACTTTTATCCAAAAAAGTTATAGTTAGACGTTTAGCTTTTTGTTACGAGTAATGATTCATTTGAATTTACTGAATGTATTAAAATATTAAACGCGAGATGTTTTATACAGAATCAGTATTATTGAATTAAACCAATACAGTATTATTAATTTATTAAAAATACTAGTAATAGTACTAGATATACTAATTAATTAATCAATTATGGAAAAATGTCTAATAATAATAATATAGGAATCAATTGGATCTAAATTTCTTGAGTTTATATCTTATAAAAATCAAATCTATTTCTTGTTTGGCGTTTGTTTTGTAGTCTTTTTGGAATCCCAGGCCTTTCTGTCCACGAGTGTCGAGGTATACAAGTCATAGATTTCGGTATATTTGTGGTCCGACGAGGAACGGGAGGCATCAGAGTTGCCATTATTTGCCACCTTTTTGCTTTTTGGTGTCATTTTCTTGACTTTCAACTCCTTTTGATTGCTTTCATCGCTCCTATCCTTAGGTTTAGTTTCCTTTTGAATGCAAACAAAGACGACAATCATTGCCATTATAGCCATTATTATGACCACAAACACCGCTAATATATAGATCTCAGACGAAGCACTTTCTGTGGCCTGAACTGCCTTCTCAAGTGACTTGGATTGAGGTGTCGGTGCCGCACATACCTGAGTGATCACTAGTAGTAACACACATTGTATTATTAGGTATGATTGACATGTGGACACCAAACGAATCGTTGCCATCAAAGCGATGGATATCTTGGCAAATAAAAATCGTTTCAATACTTTCAAACATGAGATCTTTTTGCTAAGAAGGAATCCAATGAAGAATATCATTCAACTCTACCATCACTTCAGATATGACCTCAAAAACAATAAAACAGACATCAGTTATATGGTGATGGAGTTCGCGACCAATGGAGACCTCAAACAACGACTCTCGCAGAGGGTTCAAGAGACAGGACATCCATTTCCAGAAATTGAGGCAAAGGGACACTTCGTTGAGATGACAAATGCCATTCAATTCATGCACTCAAGAGGTGTATCGCACGGAGACCTCAAGTTAGTCAACGTTTTGCTCACAATTATTGGCGGCAAAGAAGTGACAAAATTAACGGACTTTGGATGCGCTCGAGTCGTCTTCACCAAAGATAAAGGACTAACAGAGAAGACCAGAGCCGCAGGAACTCCACAATACATGTCACCGGAAGCTCTTCGCGTATATATCGCTCAAAACCTCTTTAGACAGGATCTGTTGAAACATAGGGCCAAACGGTATAACCCATTTCGAGACGACTGTTGGGCTCTCGGGGTCTGTCTCTACCAAATGATATTCAACGAAAGGCCCTATGATTTCAGGTTCAGAGATGCAAATTCAGATGAAAAGGCAAACATCTTAAAAAAGATATTAAATGACATGAAAACAAATCCGATTAAAGACAGTAAAAGTATAAAGTGAGTGAAAACTGCTTTGAAGTATTAGAGGGTCTCTTAGAGTATGAAAAGTATCAGAGGTTTGACATGAGAACCGTTAGGAGATGTAAATGGATCACCTCTTCTGACAAATTTGTGTTTAATTCATAACTATTTCCACATTTCGTT